CCAACTAGCAAACGACTCTCGACTGTCCAAACTTACATACCAGGTAAATCACTTACAGTTATAAAAGCAACGAGTAGAAACTTCCTCCAGGTGTCCAACAACTTACAAAATGGAGAAGAATGAAAGGAAAAAGGAAGCTTCAATCACATTCAACTAACATAATCATCTACAAACATAAATTCCATGAAGAGAAACATTGCGGGCCCACAAGTTGACTTCCTATCAAATGTTTTAAAGACAATTCTCTGAAAAACTGAAACAAATGTTCCAAAGCCTAATATTATTTCGAACAAAACTACAGTAATGAATTTCTCTAATTTCAGCATTTCATTCCTTCAGATTCACATCACATTCATGTACCAAAACAACTCCAGGCTTCCCTTCGAACAACTTGATTCCCCATTTCGAACTCTACACTTTGAATTTATTTCCTCCCATTCCGAACTTTCCCAATATCCAATGCTTTTTCGTAGGGAAGAGGAACCTGAAATAAGTGATTTAACACTAAGAAATAATGTAAAGAATTAGAATCAACTAATTAAGTGTATCACGTCATGGTTCTAGCAATAAAATTGTGTCTGTGCAACATTCATAGGCTTCAATGATGTAGCCCAGATCGGATATAAAGCTCAAATTTGCAACTAACAATTTCACCCCTCGAATAATGACAGCTATCAAGATCACAGAGATCTACACAACTCAAAACACAAACTTCAATCAATGATCAGTAATATACATGATATCAGCATATATTAGCATTTTCTAAATTATAGTACTGGCTCAATCCAAGGCATTGTCGAAAGAGAAAAATTTATTATGAAACACCAACTGATGCTTCAGGAACATTTATTAATTTTATAAGTGAATTTACAAACATGCAGATGCTTTCAGGTGATCATATAATGTTAAATGTTGAAATTACCCCAGGCAAAAAAGACAAAATAACTCTTTCAACTTAGGCGGCAGGTTCGTGTCGTGGCAAAAGACACAAAAACAAAATTACCACCAATACGATATCAGCAAAAGAACCAAATTACCAACTATGATCATATCAGAAAAAAATTCCGTATTGAAAGCTTTTTCCCTCATTCAACAAAAGACTCTGTGAATTTCAGATTGGCATGGCATCAGAAAAGTTTCAAAAAAATGCAAAATTGCAAGTTTGTGGCCTTCACGTTCATCAAGCCTTGCACAAATTACCATTACGATTACGCAAATAACTCAATTTCTATTAATCAGGTAAACAAGTCTTCAATACATACAAATTTCCATATATTACAGCTAGCAAAAGTTTCATCATGATAAACAGTAAATAAATCACTAGCAAAAGTGACTTTTCACATTGAAAAAACTTTTCCAAAAAAAACAAATGAAAGCAAGAATATACCCAATGAATCCTTGTGGTGATGACAAGAACATCACTCCGTCATCACAATTGGGCTTGAGAGTCCTTATTAATGCAAAATGAACGCTCCAACGACACTCGCAGATTGCGCAGAAAAGCGCGAAGATTTACTACCATAATCCTGCCAAGAACGAATAGATCACTCGATAAACCCAGAAATCCATACGCAGGACCGAATCTTATCGATTGGAGGAGGAGAGTGAATTTGCCGCGAGAGAGACCCCCGGAGATC